TTCACAGTTGTATTTAGTTGTTTTTCTGAAGAACAAACCCGACTGATATTATTTTGCGATCTAATTATATTATACCGAAAGATACATATTAAAACTAGTCTGCCCCACGAAAGCTTGACTTAGTGAAGTATCAAGCACCAAATTCACTAGATACGAAGTGGTATACCCTATCATGAAGTTTCAAGAAATCGATATAATTGATCTTCCAAATAACATACCAAGACATCGATTAATCATTCTTCTGAGCTATATTTAGAGTTCTTTTTAGGATAAACAAAATATTATAGATTTTAGAGTATGAATCTAGATAAAGAAGGTCGAAGAAGAAGCCCCAAGCCAATAATACATTGTTTATCGGAAAAAATGTTTATAGGCTACTTTTTAAGAGTTCACAAAATATTGAACGAATGTTGGTACTAGCTTATAAAACAAGTCTACTAAAAATATACCCATGAACTATGCATGATGTTCCATCTATCAAAAACGCATAATCTTCCGATATCTATCTATTCTAATGTAAGAGAAGCTTACATATTTCCAAGAACTTTTACATCACCTTGTACATTGCCAAACTGTGGATGTCTGTTGAATTATAGTTATCTCATGGACTCCTCTCAGCTATGCTTAATATGACAGCTTCTAAAAAGCTTCTGGTGACCGACATAGGCTGATCTGACAATAGTCTTTGAAAAACAACTTAAAACCGTCAACTTAAGAGAATATGTCTGAATATACCAGCGATGCAGTAATAAAAGAATATCACTGGCGCGTTAATTTTCTGTGTTGAAGTTATAGATATCTGCAACTGCAGAAACTATAGATTCATATTTTTATTATTCTCTGACCTTATTCATAGGAATTTTCTGCTACATGATTCACACTAAATTTAAATGTGTCGTATTTATGTGTCGTGCACTCCAGCACAAAAATGTGTCGTGCTTAGAATGTGTCGTATACAAATTTGTCGCGTTCTGTCCGCTGACTATTCGTGCACTGTTTTGTTATGCACACATAGCGATATATAAACAACACGACTGAATGTATGAAAGATAAATTTTTCAAATAATTTTTTTTTCTAAATTATTTCTCGCACATTTTTTTATCGAGAAAATGCTAATCTCGATCCATCACCGAGAGAAGACTACCCTGAAGCGGTCTGATGCAAATCGGACCAACTCGAGATCGGACAGATCCCAGGATCTGACCTACTTGAATTTTCAGAATAGGAATAATTGAATGGAATTAAATTGAAAAAAAAATGGAAATATGCTTTTCCAAAAGAACCAATAGAAAACGTGTTGCAGTGAGCTCCTCGTGTCGTACTTTAATGTGTCGTAAATCACGACACATGCGACACATTTTAACTTAGTGTGTTGTTTTCAAGTAAGGAGTTCATCACACTGTTATACTGAAATATAAACAGCAAAGAACAATATGAACATCAGTGTTTCTATTACTTTTCGTAGAACATTAGAAAACATGGTTCAATTCAACATACAGTCTAAATTTGACAACTATTTTAATTTTTGAATGTGAATTTTTGTATATCGTGTGGTTAACATAAGGCTCATAATTTAAATCTACACTTACATTTTAATGTTCGAGCAAACAATTGATGAGCATTTCCTGAATTTGTATCAAATGGTGTGCTATATCTAACTATATCTGAAATATCTCATAAATAAGTCAATGGAAAGCTTTGATCATTTCAAATAGTTGTTCGTTGAAGATATATTTTGACAATATATGATAATGTGATTCTAATCAATGAATCGGCAACGAATGAAACAGCTTTTACCTAGCGTTATAATGCATTATATGTTTTAGTCTTCTTCGATAACTTCTTTTTGTATGGATTGGTTTCTAAAGTATTTATAGACTATCTAGAACAATCAGCTCCCTTAAGAACTAAGTATCATGAACACAATGTAATCGAATTTACTACAGGTTTTGATTCACTATAATGACTATCAAATCTTAAGTGAACAAGATCATAAATGGCAACACCGTCACTGGATTTCTGTCAACAATCGTTACCATAAACAAAATAAATGATAAACTGATCATGAACCAGGAAAGAAGACCGTTGCAGACTCCTGATATTAGGCAATACTAAGTTCAACAAAATCTGATTTTTGAATTATGTTGCATGACAGAAGACTTCTATTATCTACAAATGTTCTCATGGGAGCTCATCTGCGAGGTTGATACTCAATTCTCTGAACGAATGATGCATTGTAACAATTTTTGATTCACTCAAGAGACGGTCTATTTATCATGATCTATATAATTGAGTTGCTTTCAAGAATAACCGTGAGACTTCTTGCCATCCAACAAAATATTCGAAGATCCAATAAAATTTAAGTTTTCTTTTCATAATGCACTACGAAACTATATTGAATGATTCAAATGCAGGTTTGCACTATAGGTGTTAGTTTCCATGCTACAATTATACTATAGTGGACAAAATTGTTTGGACGATTTTATTTTGCGTATAACTATCTTATAAAGTTAGCTTTTGAGGCGTGGCTTGCGTCAAAATTACAGGCATCGTCTATAGTATATTCACAGAAAATTTCATCCATAAATATCGAGTTATAGTGGAACTGTATATATAACAATGAGCAGTAGTCAATTTCTGTTGGACAATTTTGATTGGACGATATTTTAAATTGAGTTATTTTTTTCCACAAATGTTCAAAAAGGACTAAATACATATCAATGAAAAGAGGGGA